TTGCATTGGAGGAGCATGGTTGCCCGCCTTGCTGCCTTTGGACTGTGGTCCCATGTTGAAACGCTTGATTTTCCCCTGCAGGGAGACAAAGGCCGGGTCATTCGGTGCTTGCCCTGTTTGAACAGTGATACCCCAGATAGCTATGCCATGGAGCCCATTCGTATAACGAAAGACTATGTGAAAGACTCTGGTTCCATGGCAATTAAACTGTATGTATGTGATCTGAGCGCCATTCAGTAATAATGTGCGCTCGAATCTAAGCTATCTGGGGGTATGTTGAATGTGCCTGTTTTGTGCAGTGGCTGCACAGTTGTATATTTTTGTGTGTTTTGTTGTCTTTTGTTGCCATGTGGCTAGTGGAGTTTTGCCTCTGTCCTTGGAGATGGTTGGATTGCTTCCCAGTTGTCTCCAGGATGGAAGACTCTGTGGAGCTAGTTTTAGGCAGAGGGGTCATGCTTCATTTGGTCACAGGGGACTTTGATCTATCTTTTGAACCAATCGACCAATTTGGATGATTTTGACATATGTTTGTATTTTGAGTATGTAACTTAAATGTAAGTTTTATGTGAATGTGATGTATACTTTTAACGTTATGAATAATGTGGAAAAACTGTATTTCTCTGCCTGTGATAATTACATTAACCCATTGTGTAAGGTATTTGTATCACAGGCAGAGGGGAGGATTTTGTGTGGGAGTGTCTGAGTGTATTGTACGTTTATTGGTTGTTTTACAAAACCCTGTGGGTGGTACTAATGTGTAAGAATGTGTATATAAGAACAATAAACCCACAGCTCTGCCTGTTCCTGCTTGACCCTCAAAACGGAGCCTTGTCTCATTCTTGGGGATTTACTGTATGCTGTTCCAGTTCGACTGCTAGGAGTGTAAACCTATTTGTATGGTTTTTCCTATTCGGCTGTTTACGTCATTCATATGCTTCTCTGGTTCGGTGGATTGGTGTCTACGGTAGCTTTGCCTGTGTCTCTGGAAGGGGAAGATCTACTAAACAGCATTTTAATCATTTTATGCCTGGGGGTGCCGTTACAGATATTTATCAGACAGGAAGAAACATATGTAACTGGGGCTATTTACAAAGCTATGAAAGTTCTTTTTAATTACAAAATTCTGAAATAATGTCTGAATTTGACCAGTTTTTGCAATTCCTGTTTACTAAGACTAATTCAGGAAGATTTACTTAAAATTTGTCTGTTGTTTGTTGTCTGCTAAAATATACACATTTAATGCAAAATATAGGAAGTTAAACTTTAACTGATAAACATACTGCTCATGGATATTTGTACTGAACCTGTATGCAGCCAGGGCTTGAGTCCTGTTTGAACAGGTGGGAATGCCATTCCTGGTGAGTAAAAAGTGGGTAGGGCTGCATCAGCTCAGATAGGGATCTGTGTTACTTATTGGGTTGGTGTTGAGATCAAATATCTCTCTCATCAACCCAGCAAACTTTAATGTCAGGGGAGGAGGCAGAGGGGAGGCACATCCCAGGCTACCTGAGTCCTTAAAATGAAGGGAGGGTGTAGCACCTTGATGTATTTCTTGAGGTATGTGCATTCTCAGAGGAAATGGAACATGTGGAAATAGAAGAATGCAGTAGAATATATCTTGCATAAGGTGAGAATATAAAAAATGGAATAGCACTTACAGTTTGTAGAGTAAAGGTATCTATATCTGAATGCCCTTAGGTGGTACGATCTCCACCTAGTGACAATTGGTGTCTTCTTTAAAGTGCTTTAGTGCAAAGGAACTCCACCCAGATATGATGGCTCAGGATGGTGTTCCTTAGGGGGGTACCTTGGGGTCTTACAGGCTTATTAGTAGGTAAGTAGTTAATATAAAAAACAAGAATACAAAATATAGTGCTAACTATTGTTACTATAACTAAATAGATACAAACAGGAGAGGTATTTACAAATACAGAGCAAAAATAGGGTTTTGGTCAATCCACAGCATTCAGGTGGTATTTTTCCCACCAACGGAATATGTGGTTCCAAGCTCATCCAAAGATCAACGTGAAGTTCACAGAAGTTAGCAAATAACTAATTTATTTAATAAACTATTACATAAGATAAGAGACTAATACAAAAAATACATAGTAGTAAAATAACACTTAATGCATTTTGCCAGAAAGAGGCTTTTTCAGAAGTGCCAGGCTACCTGGGTACTTAATGAATGTTCCCCCATGCGGCCACACCATGGCACAATGGTGAGAGGAAGTGATTATATTTCACTATCTCCTGGGGCACAGAGAGCAGCACCAGGACAGAGAGGAGGATGCTTGCTCTGCACGCAGCATGAGGAAAGTGCTGCTGGTAAGTGTACTCTCTGTGTGGGTCAGTGTGCGTGTGTATGAGTCAGTCTATGTTTCTATGGGTTAGTGTGGGTTTATGTAAGTGTCAGTTTGTGTGTGTATTGGTCAGTCTGTGTGTATGGATGGGCCTGTCTGTGTGTGTGTGTGTGTTTGTGTACAGGTCAATGAGTGTATGGGTTAGTTTGTTTGTGTCTGTGTGTATGGGTGAGGGTGTACATGTGTATGGGATAGTTTGTGTGCGTATGGGTCAGTGTGAGTTTGTATAGGTCAGTCTTTGTGTGAATTGTGTGTGTTTATGGGTCAGTCTGTGTGTGTGTCTGTGTGTGTGTGGGGTAGTCAGTGTGTTATTTTTTTAATTTCTTTATTTTCACCTTGACACGTGTAACAGCATTACAGTTTTTGCTTTGCTCAATACATACAGAAGTAGGTTGTGCATATTTCATCATTACAGTTGTTGTGCTGTTCATTGTCAACTTTTCAATATTTAAACAAAAAAATTAACAAAGGTAATAAAACATAGCAGAACATGTCCTTGTTGTATGTGTAAACTAGCAGAACGTGTGGATGATCAGCATGGTGTGCTTATGAGAGAGTGCAGGTTGTTGTTGTGCATGTCTGTACCCCGTCAGGGATGGGATCTTCGTGGGCTGATTGATGTTGTGTGTGTCTCGTATGGGGTGGTGGTCCTTATCCCCACGCTTGTTTCCGTGGGTTCTTTCCCGGGTTTGACGATATAGTGTATGAAGAGCCCCTGTGATCTGCCTGTCATAGCCGTGTTGGAGTAGGGTTTGGGTGGGGTCTCTATGCGGTTTGTCCCGTCTGAGCTGTTAGTGTTGCTAATTTGCGGGGTTCGTTCTGCGGGGCGTCACTTTCCTGTGTAGGCTTTTTTGGGGTCTTGCCCTCTATCGTGTTGTGGAAAAATTCCATCCCAATTGAAGGGGGTGGGATCGCACTCTTCTTGGTTAGATCGTGTGGGCGCTGTTGTCTTATTTTTTTTGTTATTGCATGGTGTGGGTAGGGGGGAGGGCAAGGTACGGGAAAAGTGGGGAGGCAGGAGACAAAAAAAAAAGAAAAAAAAAAGGGGAGGGGGAGTGAGCGCTGTGTTGCCCTTAACAGGGCATGTGCTGGGGAGGCGCGCGGCGGGCCTCGTCCCTATCTGCTCCCCGGTCTCCGCTCTCATAAGATTTTGCAGGTCTCAGTCGCCTATGTATGCCTCCCAGGGTTGCTAGGTGCTTTGAAATGTTTTTTCTGTATTTCTAATTTGGGCTGTGAGTTTGTCCATTAAGTATGCATCTTTAATCTTCGTTATTATGTCGTTGTCCGTAGGGACTGAGGGTGTCAGCCATGCCTGGGCTAGTGCCCGCCTGGCCGACAGGGTGATTTTATTAAAGAGTTGTTGTTCTTTTCTGGGGAGGCCATCGATGGGCCTAGATAGCAGGACGGACCAGGGGTCCATTTCTACATGTCGACCCAGGATGTTTGTCAGTAGCGTCTGTACTTTTTTCCAGTATCCGCCTATGACTGGGCACTCCCACCACATATGCACAAAAGTGCCCTTATTCCCACAGCCCTTCCAGC